GTGTTGGTTACAATAAAAAAGAAAATTGCTCTGTGTTTTAATGCTGTAGCAGGCTTATGCTTTTTGGGAAAAGTAAAGAATATGCTCTATGGTTCTATGGCCTCAGTTTTGCAGTATATGCACATAATGGAACAAACTTTATACTTGATATAGTGCTAAAACTTCCTTTTATTTCTCTAGCAATGGTTTTATCTGAAAAAGCACAAGTTCATACTCCGCTTCCCAAAAAAGTGATCAATGCATCTCCAGCCACATCTCTCTCTGTCAGAAAGGCTCTTGGAAATGTGAACAGAACTTTAGAAGCATCAAGTAAGAAGAAGCAGTTAAAAACAAAAAGTTGTCCTCATACTGCAAAGAAGGTGGGTTTAACACTTCTTCAGGAAAAAAGTGAGTCAGACTTTGCCTACATAGGTATGGGGGATGTAACAGCTTGAATAATACCCAAGGGGAGGACAATGACTGGCATATTTGCCCTTCTATGGCTTGCTCACATACACAGGAGGTACAGCTTAGCCATAGCTCTAAGGACTCTGTTGCAGGATTCCTTTCTGCACACACAAGCCACTATGGCAAGTTCTAAGAGGAAGAATTGCAGTAGCTCATAAATAATGTGACTCTCTCCTTAAGATTACTGAAGAGATGGCTGGATTAGAAAGCTGTGATGCAGTAGCTGAAGAAGCCTATCCAGAAATTGAAAAAATGTTTCCCTATGATCCTCTAGGTAAGAAACCATTGGTGTAATTATCAGAAGAATGATTGGACTGTTGCTTGAATGTTGACTTTGGCTAAGCTATTGTGGCTACCAAAATGTTGTTGTATTTCTGGAGTCCTTCCTTGAACATAAGGATACTTGCTGCTTATTCCTGCTTATTCTTGTTTAAATGCTGCTAACTGCAATAGCTATATTTAAGGTATTTAGTCTTTGTAGGGAGGCCTTTACTGTGGTGGCAGGAAGCTGGTTATTACTTATAGCTCACATAGAAGGCAAGTATTTGAAGGCTGTGTTTAAGCATTAAGAGTAAATTTTTGTAAGTGTGCACTTAAATAGTAATATGTAATTGGAAAAATCTCTCCTGCTAAAATAGGTGTCCTACTCCAGCAACTGTGGAGCAAAAACTTAAACTGACTTTAAACTGACTTTACTGTGGAGTAAAAACTTAAAATTTATAAAGCTATTAGAATCCATGCAAAGAACTTTTGGACCTGGTCAATATGTTAAGTCTAGAAGGACTGGCTGCTTTCAAAGGTGTTATTACTGTACATTGTGGGTAAATCAGTGTTTTCTGTAAACAGACTTTGAGAGCTTTGATGTTCCTGAAGAAAACAGCCTGAACAACCTGGTGCTGAGTGGTGTTCCCCTCATGATGTTTACAAGTCTGCCAGATGTACTTCCAGATAGGGTTCCTTCTCCTGTGAAGCTTCCACAAATATCATGGGAGTCTGGTAAGTGGAGACTTGCATGAAGTCCAGTGTTACAAGTGCTTACTGGTGGCTTGGGAGGGAAGCTATTGGGCTGTTGAAACTGCCACTGCTGCCCTACACCATCAGAACAGGGGGGCTGCTCTGGAACTGCTGCTGGGATGTAACTGAGGTGACTTTCACTGGCCAGCTCTTAGTAAAGGTAATGAGTACTCACATTGCAGATTCAGCTGCAGTGTTTTGCTAACCAGTCAGTTAAGACCAAAATGTTTTATGCAATCCAATCAACTCTTGAATGTCTCAAGGAGATATAAGGTCTAACTTGTGTTCTAAAGCATAAAATTCTCAGTTTCTTGAACTGACTTAGTCTATTCTGAATTCTTTCAGGCTTGCTACAATCAAGTACTGATTTCCTTTCTACTCTGGATAACATCATTGATATGCCACCTCTGAATTATGACCCTTAAAGTATATTCTGAAACTTTTACTCAGTTAACTTCATGTAGCTTTTTATCTTTAATAAAGGCTTGTCTAACTTGTGTAATAATAGAATTGTCTATATTCAGTGGATTCTCTATACCAAGACTTAGATGTAGTAGTAACAATGTTTTGAAAGAGCTTATCTTACAAGCTATTAAAGCAGAGCCTGGCTGGGTTTTAAGCAAAACTATAACCATTGCTGTAAACTGTATTTGGGAGTCAGTACAGCTGATTGAACTGCATGAGCATAATAAGTTCACAGGCTCTTCTGATGTCCTGTATTGCCTCATCCTTTGTCCATCAAACATGCTGGGGTATAAAATTAATCTATGTTTTATGGGAGGTGTGTGCCAGAGGCAGCACCCTTGGGCTACTTTCTTGAACTTGTGAGTTCAAGTGTTGCTGCTAAAGAAAATCCTGTATGGGACTGTACTGAGCTGCAGAAAACCTTGTGAGGAGACAGTGACTGGCTGAGTACCTGGTAGGAGGCCCAGCTTGTGAAACTCCCCTCTAACCAAATTCCCACCAGGGCTAGGCAGTCTGTTTTGTCAGCAAATTCTAGCTCCCTTCCAGCTGCTCAAGGTTAGTGCAGTTGAGATAAGGAAATAGTTCTGATAGATTTAGGGGACCTCATGAACAACAAATTGAGTCTACCCTGTGTCAGGCCTGAGCTTCCAACAGCCTCCTGGCAGCTCCTGTGCACTCTGTAGTGCAAGTTCTTTCTTAAATCTACCCTGTTTAA